ACTGAACCAAAGGAAGCAATGTCTGGACTGATGTAGATACTAAACATTTTGATGGAATAGGACTTTGGGTTATCTCCATTAGAGAGGTATGGAAAAAAAGAGAACAAAGGAATGTCTGATAACCAATAGGGTAGACTGTGGCAGAGACTGGTGCCCACTGATGTTCTAAAGTCTGTTCCCCTCATATTTTCCAATTCCCTTACAATTATGGGCAGTTCCTCCAATAGGCTCTGCGCAGAAGTATATGTACCATTTCAGGTCCCAACATAGAAAAGCTAATGCATATAACGCAGCTTTCTCTTCTGCTGTCTAGATGGTGAAGTATTATTACTCAGCTTGGGTCTTTGAGTAACTATGTGAAAATCCACTCCCAACCCTGATTTGCACTGAACTCTTAAGGGATGGAAGATCAGTTTATTTTATCAAGCAACTAATCACAGAACAGCAGAGAACAGGTGAATCTAGAATGAGCAGTAGAATTGAGAGATAAGTACCAGTTCTGCCTTCAAGATTAGCTGCAATTAGTTTAATTACATTAAACTTCTTGGAAGTTGCTCCAGGAAAAGGGGCCAAACAAAAATCTGGTACAAGCAGTTTCAACAGCTTATGTTTTTGTTTTTTAAAGCAAAATAGCAGCTCAAGGGGTGGTCTGCAGTAGATTCTGTGATGCCTGCTCAGATTCTTGGTACCAGTTTGAGGTACTTATTCTCTCAATTTCTAGGCATGACAGCTGTTGACAGATTTCAAGAAAATATCTCCAGGCACTGTTCTCAACCACAGAGATCATGCTGTTCCCAGCGTAATGGGCTGGTTGGGTCACCAGCTGAGGTCTCTGAAGTGGTTGCATTCAATTCAGTTTCTCCCTCTATCCATTTTTACTGCTTTATTCCCCCCTGGGATTTTGATTCTAAAGAAACTCCCCAATAAACTTCTTCATGAATATCTCAGAGTTTCCCACACTACCTAATCTAAGATAAATATGGTCATCATAGGTAACAGATCCCAATGCGTCTCTTCTTAGCTCAACTTTATTACATTAAGAAAGCCAGCCTCAGCAAAGGCGAGGTGCCAAGCCAGTGAGACCCTGTCTCTAAATAAAATACAAAATAGACTTGGAATATGGCTCAGTGGTCAAGTGCCCCTGAGTTCAATCCCCAGTACCAAAAAAAAAAAAAAAAAAAAAAAAAAAAAAATTCTATAGTTTTGTTTTCCTAAATGTCTTCCAAAGAACAGGAGGAAATACTTCCTAACTCATTTTGAGGCCAACATCATTTTGATACCAAAGCTAGTCTAAAACATCACTAATTTGTACCCTTTTCCTATAATAAAATTAACTTAAGTTTAGCGCTTTTGGAAGTCCTATGGGTCATTCCAGTAAATTCTCCAGGCTTGGGGAGGTTGTAGGGAAACAGTGAATTTGTAGCCAGTTGGTCTGAAGTGAGGATGGTCCTGGAGATCCCTGAGTTACGGCTGGCATATGAATTAAGGGAAGTCTATTATGGCCTTTATTCTCTAACTATACAGTGTGACTAACCCCAGTACAAAAGGGAACTTCTGCAATCAGAAGAAGAGCATTTATGAAAACCCCATAGCTAATATGGGGTTTTAATAGTTGCTATGGTTTGGATATGGTTTGAGTGTGCCCCCCAAGCATTCATGTGCTGAAAGCCTGATCTCTTATATGGCAATATTGAGGTGGTGGAAACTGTAATTAGAGGTAGGGCTCAATGAAAAGTAATAAGGTCATCAGGACACTGCCCTAGGAAGAAATAAAAGCTGGTGTTGTGGAGTTAATTAGCTCTCAGTAGGGTAAGTTGTTAAAAAAGTAAGAATACTCCACATCTGGTTCCTTCTGCACACAGTTGGTTCCCTTTTTATTTCTCTGCCATGCTGTGATCCAGTCAAGGGGGCCCATGTCAGAAGCTGAACAGATGAAGCCACCCAATCTTGGATTTCCAGTCTCCAAAAGAGTGAGTTACACTCTTCTATTAATAAGATTCAGGTATTCTGATATAGCAATGGAAAATAGATGAATACAATGGTCAAACACTGAAAACTTTTCTCTTAAGATCAGAAGACAAGGTTGTCCACTTTCACTATATCTGTTCCAGCCAGAGCAGTTAACAAAACATTCAAATTGGGATGAAGTAAAACTAGGATGCAGATGATATATGATCTTATATATAGAAAATCATTTAAAAAATCCATTAAAACAATTAAAGCTAATACACAAATTCTGCAAAGTTGCAAACAGCAACTCTGGACAAAAGAAAAGAAAAAAAAACAGCACACAAAAATCAGTTGTGTTTTTATATACTAGCAATTGATAACCTGAAAAGGAAAATAAGAACATAATTCCATTTGTAATAGCATCCTATAGAATAAAATGCCTAGGAATAAACTAAGGAGAAAGACTTATACACACTGAAAACTACAAGACAATACTAAATGAAACTAAAGGAAATTTATGTCATAGACTAAACCTTGTTCCCTTCCAAATTCTTATGAAGTCCTAAGCCCCAGTGCTTACTCTATTTGGAGATAGGATATTATATGTACTTAAGATTAAAATAAGTCATAAGTGTAAAGCCTCAATCCAAATGAACTGGTGTCTTTACAAGAGAGATACCAAAGCATTTTTTAGCCACATATGCTCAGATAAAAAGCCATGTGAGGACAAAGCAAGAGAAATGGCTATCTGAAAGCAAAAAAGACACCTTATCAGAAACCAAATATTTTGTCAACCTGATTATGAACTTCAAAAATGTGAAAAAACAAATTTCCACTGTTAAAGCTATCCAATCTGTAGTATTTTATTATGACAACACAAGCAGGCTTTGAAACAACATAAGAAAATGAAAGGACATCCCATGTTCATCTATTAGAATACTAAGTATTATTATGATGACAAATTAGTATGATGACGACAAAACTTCTTAAACAACCTACATATTCAAAAAAATCCTTACTTAAATTCCAATGGCCTTTTCTGCAGAAATGGAAAAGTTGATCCTCAAATTCATATTCAATCATAAGGAGCCCTAAACATTCAAAACATTATTGCCAACAAACATATGAAAATATCAGAACAAAGTTGGAGGATTCATATTTTCCCAATTCAAAACTACAAAGTTACAGTGATCCAAATAATGTGCTGGTATATGGTCAGACACAAAGACCAATGAAATGGAACTATTAAGTCCAGAAATCAAACTATGTATCTTGTGGTCAACTGGTTTTTACCAAGGGTGCCAAGACCATTCATTGGGGGAAAGAAAAGTTTCTTTAACAAATGGAACCGGGACAACTGGACTCCCACATGTGGAAAAATGATGTTGGTCCTTTATCTTATACCACATATAACAATGAACTCAAAATGATCAAAGGCCTATGTAAGAGCTAAGTAGAAAAGTTTTATAGACATAAGGCTGAATCTTTATAAATGGAGTCTTATATATTGCACCAAAAATACATACAAAACAACAACAAAAACTGTTGGAAATGAAAAACTTTAACACAGTAATGAATACCATCAAAATGAAAAGCCAAGCCATGGAATGGGAGAAAATACTTACAAATTGTATGTCTCATAAAGGCTTACTATATCAAGTACATAAAGAACTTCTAAAACAATAACAAAAAGACAAATAACTCAATTAATATACAAGCAAAAGGGCTTAAACACACATTTCTCTAAAGAAGATACAAAAACTGCCAACAAACATATGAAAAGATGCTTGACATCTGTGTTAATGGCTTGAATCCAGAATGTCCCCCAAAGGCTCATCTGTTGAAAGCATGGTCCCCAATGCAGTAAGGTTCAGAGGTGGGGCTTTGAGGTAATGATTAGGTCATGAGGCTTAGACCTCATTAACTTTGATTAATCAACTGAGAGCTGAATGGAGGTGGAGCCTAGTCAGGGGAACTAGGTCACTGGAGGCATATCCTGGAAGAGTTTATTTTCTCCCCAGTACCTTCCTTGCCCTCTCTGCTTCCTGCTGCCATGAACTGAACAGATTTTCTCTGTCATACCCTTCTGCCATAATGTTCTACCTCATCTCAGATCCAGAGCAATGTGGACGACAAATCATAGACTGAATCTTCTGAAACTGTGAAGCCAAAAATAAACCTTTCCTTCTCTAAGTCGTTCTTGCCCAGTATTTCATTCACAGTTACAAAAAGCTGACTAACTACAACATCATTAATCACTAAGGAAATGCAAACCAAAACCACAATAAAATTACTTCGTATCCACTATGGAGACTAGATGCAAAAAGTCAGACAACAAATATTGGCAAGGTTGTAAAAAAGTTGGAATCTTTGTATACTGCTGCTGGAAATGTAAAATGGTATAACTGTTTTGGAAAACAGTTTGATGGTTCCTCCAAAAAAAAAAAAAAAAAAAAAAAAATCAACCACAGAATTGCATATGACCCAGCAATTCCATTTCTAAGGCATATATACCCAGAAGAACTGTAATCAGATATTCAAACAAATACTTGCACATCAACAGTCATAGCAGAACTACCTGTAATAGCTCAATGGTAGAAATAACCAATTGATGAATAGATAAGTAAAATGTAGTATATATAAAATATTATTCAGTCATAAAAAGGATTGAAGTACTGATACATGTTATAACATGGACAAATCTTGAAAATATTATGCTAAATGAAAGAAGCCACACACAGAAGATCATATATCATATGATTCCATTCATATGAAATAGAACAAGTAAATCTACAGACACAGAAAGTGAATCAGTATGATTGTGGGTGCTAGAGAGTCAGTAATGTCAAATGACTACTTACGGGACACAGGGATTTTTCTTTTGGAGTGACAAAAATATTTAGTTTTGATATAGGTGGTGTTTGCACAATATTGTAAATGGCTTAAATATTTAACACTGAACTGTACACTTTAAAATGGTTCATTTTGGTTATGTAAATTTCAGCTCAATGATTTAAAAAAGAAATATGGTGATAATTTTTTCTACTAACCCGATGAATAATTCCAGCAGAATGAAGGTGCTTGATTCCACACAGCATCTGATAGAGAAGGTAGGACATTCTTTCATGATCTAGTTCCATCTGAATCACTTGGCAAAGATTTGCATCCATGAGCTCCATGACTATGTAACTTCATGGGTGGAAAAAGATGACAGCTAAAGTGTATAGCAACAATCTAAGAATAATGTACTAATAAAGTTTTGAACTAACTAAAGTTTTAATCGTCACACTTACACATCTTGAAATTCTTCTAGGGATTTCTGTGGTGTGAAAACATTCAAAAGTCCAATTATCTGTGGTAAAAACAAAGAGAAAAATTAGAAACTACTTTCTACTTCATTTGGGAACTACAAATACCTGGGTTAAAAAAAAAATACAACATCAGTTTAAAATCTTTCAAGTTTTGTGTTTTAAGTTCAAGAAATCTCATTTATATATTAAAGTTTTTATGGCCAGGAATTGGGAGGCAATGATTAACAGACAGCACAGAAGATATTTAGGACACTGAAAATATTCTGTATGATAATAAAAGTATATATATATCATTATACATTTATTCAAACCCATAACTATACTACACCAAGAGTGAACCCTAGGGGTTAGGGATGTAGCTCAGTGGTATGTGCTTTCCTAGCTAGCATGAGGCCTTGGGTTTATTCTCAGGGCCACAAAAAAACAAACAAAAAACCATAGTGAAAACCCTAAGGTAAACTACAGACTGGGTAATAAATAATGTATTAATGTAGGTTCATCAATTAAACAAAAGTACCAGTTAGGTGGGGGATGCTGATTTAGGGGAATGCTATCATGTGGAGGGACAGGTTATATGTGAGACCTCTCTGTATTTTCCTCTCAATTTTGCTGTAAACTTAAAAGTGTTCTAAAACAGTCTTTAAAAAGAACAAAAACTTTACAAATAGAAGAGTTTCACATCACTCATTCCATTTATGAACACTCTAACAAGTTCTTATGTTATACAAACTTCTACATAATTTGTTACCAAATCTTAAACACCTTCTAGCTTTTTATTCAACTCAATATTTCTGTATACTCTCAGAAGGGTTTCCTTAGACCATTTCTTATTTTTTTCTTTTCAATACTGGGGGTTGAAGCTAGAGTGCTCCACAACTGAACTCCTTTTATATTTTGAGACAGAGTCTAGCCAAGTTGCCCATGCTGGCCTTGAACTTGAGATGTTTCTGCCTCAGTCTTTCAAGTTGTTAGGATTACAGGCATGCATCACTGCCCCAGCCTGATTTTAACAGTATCATATTTTCCCAGTTTTCTTCATTTCCAGTCAAATCCAGTGATTCATCCAAAGGTATACTCTCCTTTCCACTACTGTCTTCAAGCCCTCTTGTTTCTGTCTACCCTTTCCCTAAATGATATTATTATCTATGTAACTTTTCCAAACTTCTATGTGGATAATTCCCAAATAAGCATGAAAAGTCTTTGCTTAGCATCATGAGTTTCATATACACATAGTCCCTTATGTGGACTTCTAACAAATAATATAAAATTGAATTCATTTTATTCCTACCAAACTCCTTAATTTTCCAGGATACCCTCCCTTTTACAAGAGAAAACTCAGAGTGATTCTTTATCTGTACCATAGCACATATCTGAAAGAATGTTGTCTGTTGTACATCATTCTATACCCTCAATCTCTTTTTCTACATTCCCTGTACTATTAATACAGGTTAAAGAGTTTAAAATCTTACGTCTAATACTAGTATTACAAGCTGAATGTGTGTGTGTCCCCCTGAAATTCACAGATGGAGCCCTCACTCCCAATGTGATGTTATATGAAGATAGGGAATTTGAGTTAATTAGGTTTATATTAGGTCATGAAGGTGTGGCACTCATAATGGGAATAGGTCACGTAAGAAGAACAAAATCTGGCATGGTGATGCATACCTATAATCCCAGCTACTTGGGAGGTAGAGAAAAGAGAATCACAAGTTTAAGTCCTGCCTGAGCAACTTAGTGAGACCCTGTCTCAAAATAAATTTTTACGAAAGGCTAGGGATGTAGCTCGGAGATAGAGCACCCCTGAGTTCTCTATTAAAAAAAGAAAAAAATTAAAAAAGAAAAAAAAAAAGATGAACAGAATAAAATTTCTCTTTCTCCACACCCATGCATTAAGGAAAGGTCATGTGAAGATACAGTGAGAAACTGGCCAATTGCAGGTCAGGAAGAGCACCTTCACAAGGAACCAAGTAAGCCAGCACCTTGATCTTGGACTTCCCAGCCTCTGGAATTGCGAGCACTAAATCTGTTGTTTGAGACCTCTCGTCTATGGTACTTTGTTATGGAAGCCTGAGTTAACAATGGTTTTCTGCAAACCCAGCTACCACTTTCTTCACTTTATTTCCTGTAATATGGTAAAAGAAAGATCCGATCATATTACTTACCTCCTCAAAAACTTTAAGCCAACAAATAAATTCCAAAAACCCATGCTAGAGTATCACCTCATTTAGTAGTATTAAACTTGATAATTTACCCAAACTAAATTCATTTCAAGAATGTCATTTTAAAAAGCCTTTAATATTTTTAAGCATACTATTCTAAACTACACTTGTCATTTACTAACTGAACTTAATTGTCTTCAAGATGGATTTCTTTGATAGAGTCTGGTAACCCCTAATCCCTATCAGAGTTGACTGTTCTCTCTACTCTGTCTCTAGTTATCCTCTATGCTGTCATGGTATCCAACATACAGTACTGTAATTTCATTTTCACAACAGCTTCATCCAGACCACACAGGATCCTTGTTAGAAAGATTTGTGGCTTATTTACTTATTGCCTTGTACATAGCAATGTACCTGACACATTTAAAAATGTTTGCTAACAATTTAGGGACAGGAAAGTTTTTTTAGATATGAGGGCAGAATTCATCTCTGCATTAAGCTCTGCCTATTGAAAGCACTTAAACATCTGTTCAGTGGATCAATTCAGAAAAATAAAATTCAAACAAAGTACAGTTTTGTTTTTTTTTTTAAGATGGGGGAAGCCATAATAATAAAATATCAGATACTCTAAATAAATTCAAGTCTCACAACCAGCTGAATAGCATCTGGACTTTAGTAAAACTGTTCTCACTAATATTTGGGAAATCTGAGGGTAAAAGAGAGATGTTAAAAGATTTAAGGCATACAGAGGCACAAATGAAGTCAGTGGTGGCTTAGAGCTGGGGGGCATGGAAGATAGGGGATCAACAGCTAAAGGATACAGTGTTTCTTTTTAAAATTTTTTTTAATATTTACTTTTTAGTTGTAATTGGACACAACATCTTTATTTTATTTATTTATTTTTATGTGGTGCTGAGGATCGAAACCAGGGCTTTGCATATACTAGGCAAGTGCTCTACCGCTGAGCCATAACCCCAGCCCTACAGTGTTTCTTTTTGAGGTGATGAAAATATTCTAGAACTAACTGTGTTGATAATCACTCATATCAGTGGGTATATATATTAAACTGTATACTCGAAATGGGCTAACTATATGGTATGTAAATTATATCTCAATTAAGCTATCATAAATGAGATTTTAAAAAACAACTGTCCTATTTTTCGAGAGGGGAAATAAAGGAAATTATATCAATCACAGAATGGCCAAACAAAAGTCTAGGATTGATTAATGGGTTATACAGGACTACCTGAAAGAAGTAGTAATTACGAGGAACAAATAACAATTCATCGAGAAGCACTGTTTCCTACTGGGGGAAGATGGGAGAAGAGAACAAAGAACAACAGCAATAAATGAGAGAAGTGCAACTAAATACAGTATGTGAAGACTTCAAAAAGGTATACATGAAAATGTCTCTAAGAACAACATCTATGTAAATAAGATGAAGAATTAGAGAGAGTTGGCTGACTCTGGAAAACATAATTTTTGCAATATACCCCAAGGTACCTATGAAGACATCCTGAGCAAAACTGGGAAGTAAAGCCAATAAATGATAAAGCCAAAACAAAGAAAAAAAGCAAACTCTATTTAAATTTGCCAAAATCAAAAAGAGAAAAATAAAAATAAAAGGGGATGGATGAGACCCACTAACGGGCCTTTGACTTATTAGTCAATGGTGACATGCTTTTCAAATAGGATATAATGTCTGCAGTAAAGGGGAGATAACTTGCCTGAGCTCCTATCAGAGGATTCTATCAAAAATCTAGAACTGTGTGTGCTAGACGACTTATCAAAGTGTGTTTTCAGGTAAGTAATCAAGTTAAAAAAGAAACTCAAAACCCTCTTGAAAAGGGCAGAAAAACCCAGAGATACTTAGAGAATAATGAAGAGAACATCTGTGTAGAACATAAAAGTGTTTGAGACATGACATTCCCAAAACATCCATCTATCAGGGAGTAGAAAAGAACAGTCAGCATTCCTGGCTGACTATATTTAGTTTTAAATTCCTTCACTGAACAAAATAAGTGTTGAACACTTTGTGCCTCTCCTGCTAGAGGGCTAATTCTGAGACACATGTGCTATTTAGTAGAAGGAAATATCTTTCCTTGCAGTCACCCAGGCTTGGGAGAAAAGAGAAACTGGACTCCTCTCCATAGGAAAAACTAAGATGCTCCCACAGCACTCACTGTGAAACTGAGTCCACAGGCTACAAGAGGTACAAGAAGCATTATCCAAGGTTAGGAGGCCACTAGCAAAACTCTGATGACCAACATGTCTGGCTCATACCTGGAAAGAGAATGGCTACTACAATTACCTTCCTGTCCATGACTAACTTTAACTCTATCCAGCCCTTTTTATGCCACTTCTCCTTTCTTGGGGGGACCCTTTTCTACAACAATCCAATTTTCATTCCATCTTTAAGAGTTGGCCTAAGTTTACTCTTTCTGAAAGCCTTCCCATTAATTAAGGCTCACAGAGATTTCTCTATTGAGATTTTAGAACTTATTGACCATCTATATCAACTGACAGTTAAATTACTCATGCTTTGTGATATTTGATATTTAACTTTACATTATTTGTTTTGCCTTCAAACACGTTTCTCAAATAAGGAGGCTTAATGTCCATGCATTCCCCAACTTGGAGATAAACTTATAACTCCAATATAATGTGGTGAATTGTATTATCTGCCATTAGAAAGTATTATACTTATTATATCATATCAACTCCTTTGGACAATCACCACAAAATGTCTCCAGTGAAGTGCTTTCAGTTTAGTGCTTCATAAAACTGTACCTTGCACAATTTCCTCTTAGTTATTTGCTCTCAGTTTAGAGTATTCATTCCACAAAAGAACTATAAAAATATCAGAGTGTGTAAAGTAATTCAAAAAAGTACAACTGTCCTCAAAATGAGTAAATGTTACATCATTAGGAAGTATAATTAGAAATCTTTTTCTAATTCCCTTTAAATATTTTCAAAAAATTTCTGCTACAGTGCTTTGTAACCACTGGCTACCTTCAACATAAAATGATCAGTAAATACTTACATCACTAAAGAGGTGTGAGTGATATGGTGAGAAATGATTTGCACTTCTATCCTGTACAATTAAGGGAAGATCCAGTATCAAAATAAAATTTGAATAATTTCATCTCTGTACTAAGGCTACTAATATTTTTGAAATGTCAGCTCTATAGAGAATAAGCAGCAAAATAAGAAATAAAACTTAAATAATATTCTTCTAAATTTCAGAAGTCATTTTCTTTTGATATCACTTAATAAAGTTGGGTAAAAAATTCACCCTGTGGGGCTGGGGTTGCGGCTCAGTGGTAGAGCACTCGCCTGGCATGTGTGAAGCACTGGGTTTGATCTTCAGCATCACATTAAAAAAATTAATTAATTAATTAATTAAAGGTATCATGTCCATCTACAACATTAAAAAAAAAATTCATCCTGTGAATATATATTCCCTTTAAACAATGTTTCAATTCAGAATAATTTAAAGTCTCTATAAAGTCTTTCATATTTGTGTATTCATAAATAAATCTTGATTTCATCTATATTTAAGAAATCTAAATTATTCACTTACATTTTTATGATTAACACATTTCATAAGAACTAGCTCTCTGTAGGCCCGCTTAGCATGAGTCTGATTCTGAAATGGCCGGCTTAGCTTCTTGATTGCAACATTTCTTTCAAGAATGGCATCATAAGCTGCACTGTAACAAGAAATTCAAAAACAAAAAAGTAAAAATCTGTAAAACTGAATTTATGAAACACTCATGCAGATTCCTCAATTCCTCCAAAGATAGATGGAACTGGATCACTCTTCAGTCTGTAATGCTCAACATGTGTCTTCTATACTTATGACAATATATTCCACAGCAAATAACAATCATTTTTTAAAATAATAATGTATCCAAGGAGGCAATGGATTGAAAAGACAGACACCCCGCTGGTTCGTTGTCTGTCCTCCAAGATACACTTAGCCCAGGGTTGGCACTATGAATACATAAATGCTTTATAGATATTTAGGTCTGCTAAGATAGCTTAAAGCCTAAAGGAATCATTCACTCTTCAACCAGATCAAAGAAAGTCAGGATAAACATGAATTCTACTCAAAATGTTTGCTGAAGAATTCTACATAAACCCATTACTTCCATCCTTTCAGTCACAGGCAATTAATAAATACAGAAGTGTGTATATAAAATATTAAAATTTGTTTTGAAAAAGACTTAACATTTTATTTTAGAGAAACTAAAAAAATCAAGGTGTTTACAAATATGAATGCTAAATTTGAAAACATCAGAAGCTGCTTCATAACTGGGACATACACATCGCAACATATACATTACTCTTCATTTCTTCCTTTACCCCTTGATGCTGACCATATGACATCTATTGGTATATGAAAGGTTTGAGAATAGGAAACACAAATAAGGTAATCTGTCTTTATGTTTTTGAATTTTATGACTTAAAGTTCTTTAAAAATGTGGATTCATCTCCACCTAAGGAGGATCAGCAGTTAAGTAACTGGTTCAAGGTTAGTCAAAAAGTTAAAAATAAAGCTGAGGCTAGAAGATAAAGACATGAAGGTCTGGGTTGTGGCTCAGTGACAAAACACTTGTCTGATATGTGTGAAGCACTGGGTTCAATACTCAGCACTACATAAAAATAAATATATAAAATAAAGGTATTGTGTCCATCTACAACTAAAAAAAAAATTTAAAAAAAGACATGAGGCTGTGCATTTCATACTGAACCACTTAACATATTATAAAAGTCTACTTCTATTTAAATGTATTTGGAAAGCCAGTTAATTACTGATGGTTTTCACCTGATTAAACACTTTGTAACTCTCTCTTCATATCTATTTGGTATTTGTTATAGAACTATATAGATTATGACATTGTACTACATTTATATCTCTACATTCTGTATATACTATAACGATTGTATATAATTATTATAATGAATATATTGCACATAATGATTGCATATCATATACATATCAAAATAAACATAAATATAACCCTTACTTTAAAAGTACTATATTTATAGATATGTGCTGCCCAAATTAAAAAAAAAAACAACAATATCAAGGGTCATGAAAAATTGTTAGAAATGTATCTTCAGATAATAAAGATTTTATTATTTATTTATTTATTTTAAAGAACTTATTTTTTTAATTTGTTTTACTTAGTTACACATGTCAGTACAGTGATCTTGACATATCATACATTTGAATCAGATGGGATATAATTTCTCATTTTTCTGAGTATACAGATTGCAGAATCACATTGGTCATGCAGTTACATATATACACACAGTAATAATGTCTGTTTCATTCTACTATCCTTCCTAATAAAGATTTTATTTTTAAATTCATTTCTATTAATTTACTATCTGCTAAAGCAAAAGAATATTTCAAACTATTAAAGTTTGAAAGTATCTTAATGGATTCCACTATTTTATAACCAAGGAAATTAGATTTTTAATTGTTGATTCTTCAGTGTGCACAAATCAGAAAACACCTGGCCCCAATCCATACCCATAAACCTTACTATTAATGTTTTATCAAATTAGGTTCTTCAGTTGATCCTGACAGCAACACAATGAGTTTTGAAATTTTTGTATTTAATCTATTTCATAATAATATTTTATAAAATTATTACTTTAAGTGACAATTTGAAGACATTCATTCCTTAGGATATGGTGGCTAAAGGGACTTAAGGTCCTTTCCAAAGCATTTTTAATTCTGATACACAAATTTCAAAGTGCACTTACCTGAGGATAAGTGAAGGAACATAACACTAAACATTATTTAATTATTTTTCTAAATTATATAGGATAATGCTCAAAAATAGCTCTATAAATTAATTGAGAAAAACAGGCTTAAAACTGTTAATTTGCCAAGAGACACAAAACCAAAGTAAATCAAAGACCTTGAATCTGAACCAACAGCTGACTTTCTAAATTCTAAATACTGACTGTAAATATTTTTTTAAATTTAATCTGTGGCTGGTTAAATAGGTCAATGTCATTGATTAAAATGTTAGCCAGCTAGGACTGGGGCTTTAGCTCAGTGGCACAGCACTTGCCTAGCATGCATGAGGCACTGGGTTCGATCCTCAGCACCACATAAAAATAAAGATATTGTGTCCATCTACAACTAAAAAAATATATATTTAAAAAGAATAAATAAAGGCATTATGCCCATCTACAAGTACAAAAAATAAAAAAATGTCAGCCAGTTAATAGAGTTTATAAAATGACCCCAATTTCTATAATTTTTGATATCATAAATTACTTCAATAAAGAGAATGTCTTTTCATTACACAAATTAATTAGATTTAAATTTTTACCATAATTACCCTGGATTTTTTTTGTTTTAAAGAAATGATTTATAGGTAAACCAACCTTCCTCTTCTGAGAGGTAAATAAAATCCTTGATGTTTATGCATGATTTTACCGTTTCTACATATAGCATGCACCCAAAATACATGGCATTGTTTTGAATATTTTAAAGTATAGGTAAATGGTGCAAAACTATATTCTACATCTTGCTTTTTAAAATCAACTCTATATTTCTTATATTATCTTTGTTTATACATAGAGCTCCAGTTCACTTTAAATGTTGTATAGTATTACATTCTATGATTATATCACAATTTTTAATTCTCCTATTGACAGACTTGATGCTGTTTTCATTTTCTGCTATTATAAATGATGCTGCAAACAACAGATCTATGTATGTCTCTATGTACATGTGCAAGAGTTTTTCTAAGAACCTGGCAGAAGTGCTGAATCATAAAAACTCCTGATTTTTAAAATGGATTTCAAAACAAATTTGGTTCATGAAGAGATAATAAAGATATACTGGAGTGTGTGTTTGAATTCCCAATAACACCAGCTTATTATGCTAACAGTGATTTTGAATCATCAGCAAAACTATCCCAAAGAATGTTTTGCATTTCAGATTATAAGAAGTTATGCTGATCTGTGAAGCCTGGGTCTTTTGTAGAAATTAGCTTGTAAATTAGTTTTAAAGTTATATGAGTTTTGAAATGTGTACACTGGGGTATCAGATGACTTCCATTCCCAAGTGTAAAATAAGATTTCTGAAATTCCGGAGTTTCATTTTGGTGTGTGAGTGATGATTAAGTGAGGTTTCATATTAAATAATTAGCTATGGAAATAGATGTACACATGGAATTAATAAACATGCCACTTATCCTTTTCTGATATAGCTAGCTGTTTCTGCATGGCTTATAAACAAGTATTTAACCAGAGTTTATATTTAAAGATAGCAACTCATATGAGGCAAGTTGATTCTTTGATTCATTTTTGGAAGTAAGACTTACCAAACTATTCCTTGAGCTCCGGAGCCTATAGGTTTTAAATTCTGATACCGTTTCAGGACTGTGAACGTAGAATCTCCAATTTCTACACTATAAAAATTGTTGTCCCGCTTGCTTCTGCTCATGATGGCAAGAAATTAATTTAATGGCTTCATCCAAAAATTCACCAAGAGGCTACAAAATGAAACAAAACATGATGTTAACAAAATGAACCTGTTTAATCTTAAAATTCCAACTCTTCTTTATATTGACTGGTATTAACACAGACTGCTATGTCATGTTTGAAGAATTGCTTCATTAAAAAACAAACTAAGAAAAAATACCACAGGGTCTTGGTTAGCATATGCCATACTGAAAAACGACTTATAGCTTTTTTAAAAAAAAACTTTTATGAGCATAAACAATTTCTCTAGAAGTCACTGGTATAAATACATACTTAAGTTACAGAAGACTAAACAAAGGAAATGGTTATAATTAAACTTGCTCTAAAAGTCATTTTTCAAGCTGGGCAAGGTGACCCATGCCTGTAATTCTAGCTGGTAGGCTGAGGAAGAAGGATCTCAAGTTCAAAGCTAGCCTCAATAATATAATGAGGCGATAAGTAACTTAGCAAGGCTGTGCTCAAAATAAAAAAAATAAAAGGGCTGGAGATGTGGCTCAGTGGTTAAGTACCCCTTGGCTCAATCCCTGGTATGTATAAACAAACAAACAAACAAATAAATAACACCTTCATAACTAAAAATTTAATGTGTTTACATATTAGAGTACTGAAATCATTTTTGTGAGAAATCACTAAACTTTCATTAAAAAAAAAAAACAATTAACCATATCATTTTTAGTGCAAAGTGGAAATCCAAGCTAAAGTTGTTTAGCACATGTGGTACCTGCCTAACAAACAAGTTGCTTTCACTATGTCAGATCTTCTGACTCCCAAGAGCTACATCCTGGTATAATTCATATGCTGAGGCTATAATGTTGAAAAGATGAGAAGCAGGGTAGAACATTAGATCAGGAAGAGAGAGAGATGCATTAGTATACAAGACAAAACAATTCTGTTCTAACTTGTTTGGAGGATCAAAAGTACTATATAAGTTCTGACAACAGTTCTTTACCATCTATCAAATTAAGTCAGGGTATCTTTTTCTACTCGATTGTATAAACTGGAGATTGACAAACTAGCATCTCTTCACTACTAGATAACATTAGTTTATTCCAAAATGTGAATGGTGGATATGGTGGCACACACCTGCAGTCATAGAACTGAGAAGGCTAGGGTGAGGGTTGGCCATCCAGGAAGGGGTGGGGGGGGGAGCAAAATGCACGTAAGACAATTTTTACCTACTACCCACCATCCCAATAAATCATGAAACCAGTTAGGTCTAAACAATTATTTCCGTGTATGTGTATGGTTATAAGACAATGCTAACACAAAAATATGATTAAATGACACAGCATCAATACTGTTTTCACATCCCAGAAGAAGGTTAAATAGGCCTCTACCCGAGCACTCAAATTGGCTGCAGCTTAGATTTCTTAAGCCTAGTTGCTGGATGGAGTAGAGTGTTATTCCTCTCTTGAACATTAGGATCAGGAGAGGAAGGGGTATTCTATGATGCTTCATAGGAGCTGACTTACTGTTATAAAGCAGACAACAACAGTTGGAGTTTCTCAACTGGCTGGAAATCAAGGAGTCCATCCCAGAGCAGTTTCCCCTTTCTGCTAAAGAATAACAGCAAGGAAGGGTTTCTCTTTATTCCCGGAATGGGAAGACACAAAACAGGATGGTGATCCATGGTGACAGCTCCCCATTTATCTGTGGCAGTGCCCACATGAAGTCTGAACAAAATCACAGCTAAACATTTATAGTCATCAACTTCCAGAATAATGCAGCAAAGCTAAGTAGAAAGCCTCAGCCAGCGGTGCCCTTGGCAGAAGCTAAGAATGACCCTCCTAAGAAAAAGAGACAGAGAACTCTTTATTCACTTTATACTCAGTCCTGCAATATTTACTAGAGTACCTAACTCAAGCACTAACAACACTAGTAATCAGCATCTAGCTCCTCCTAGGATTTGCAGATATAACAATAAAAGAGAACTTAAGCTGATTATTACTTAGTCATAACTAAAATTGTGATAATGGCAACCTAAGGGCAGGATTCCACAGAAACTCGTGCTAGTATAGGCTCTGGACAAACGAATCCCTCCGACAAAATGATATTTAAGTGAGATCTGAACACCGACTATGATAAAAGGGAGCTTTCTAGGCAGAAGAAATAACACATAAAAAGGCTCTAAAAAATTCACCAACTCTAACTGTACAATTTAATAAGTTGTGATAACTGTATACAACATTGTAACCACCCAAATCATGATATAGAACATTCCCATCATCTTAAATATTCTCTATATGGTCAATTTCTGCCCCACCCCACTGTCCTTGCCCCCCTGTCACCACTTAACTCCTTAGTTGTGCTTTTACTAGATTTTCACATAAATGAAATCATATGACATGCAACTGGTGTTTTGCTTTTTCCACTTGCCATGTTTTTGAGATTAATCCATGCTTCATCCTTTTTACTACTAAGTAGTATTCTATTGTGTGGGTGCACTATGGGGCCAATTATACTGTATCTAGTTTGGGGGTTATGATAAATGATACTAATACTAACACCTGCAGTTTTTAAAAAAATTTATCTTGGGAGAAAATGGAGTGGGACTGTTGAGTTCTATGTTTAACTTATAAACTGCCAAACTGTCTTCCAAAGTGGTGATACCATTTTTTCATTTTCACCGGCAATGTATGAGAGTTCTAGCTGTTCTACATTGTAATTATCATATAATTTTATCTGTATTAGTATATAGTGGTATTTCATTATGGTTTACATTCACATTTTTTTTTCTTTTCTTTCTGAACCCAGGGGTACTTATCACTGATCCACATCAATAGTTCATCTTATTTTTTTGAGACACAGTCTTGCACTAAGTTGCTCAGACCCTTGCTAAGTTGCTGAGGCTGCCTTTGAATTTGTGATTCTACTGACTCAGCCTCTCAGATCACTGGGTTCGCAGGTGTGTGCCACTGTGCCCAGCCTATATTCACATTTGCTAAGAAGTAATAATGCTGAGCATATGTTCATAGGCATTCATATATCTTTGCTGTTTTAGTAGTTATTCACAGTTCTTTTTCCCATTATAAAAATACTATTGTTTTCTTGTTTGAGTTGTAATATTTATTCTTGCGTTCTGGATATAATCCTTTATCAGATGTTATAAATATTTTCTCCCAGTCTGTGACTTACCTTATATTTTTTAAGTGTCATTTTAAAAAATTTGATTTATTCATTTATTTTTGGTACTGGAGATTGAGCCCAGGGGTGTTCTGCCACTGAACCACATCCCCAACTCAAATTTTTTGGTTTCAGACAATATCTCATTAAGTTGCTTAGGGCCTCACTCAATTGCTGAGGTTGGCCTTGAATTTGCAATCCTCTTGCCTTAGCCTACTGAGTTGCTGAGATTACAGGTGTGTGCCACCACACCTGGCACATTTTTAAACTTTATCTTGAAATAATTTTAGATCCACACATAAGCTGTAAAAATAGTAGAGTTCCTGAGTACCCTTCACAGGAGTACCCAGTATTTGACATTCTTTACAGGTTGATCATCCCAGATCTGAAAATCTAAAATCCAAAACTTTCTTAAAAGTTACGAATTTTGAGGCATCTGGATTAGGTATGCTCAACCTGTATAACAACAATTTTGAGTTTTCTGATTCATGAACATGGTGCTTGTTTCTGCTTACTTGGTTCTTTAAGTTTTCTCAGCAACATTCTATAATTTCCAAGACACAGAGGCTTTGCAAAATTTTGTTCAATTTCTCTGAAAGTATTTAAATATTATATGTTAATATAAACATGTTTACTTTATTTACATTTATAATGTGAGTATACAGAAATACAATTAACTTTTCTATCACTACTTTGTACCAAGCTCAGTTATTCATCTTAGTTGCCTCAGCTTCTGTGGATTCTTTTGAAATTTTTCTACATTCATAAGTAGTTTCTACATTCATAAACTAGTTTCTTAAAATGTTAAGTTTCATATTTTTTAAGTGTCATTTTAAAAATTTTGATTTATTCATTTATTTTTGGTACTGGAGATTGAGCCCAGGGGGTGTTCTGCCACTGAACCACTGATTTGAGAGCCATATTTTATAACATAATATATTTTTCTTATCCCACTAAACTAGATATAATTTCAATACAATGACAAATATTTAAGTAGTGAAAGTAAGCCATGGTTCCATTGTTCCGGATCTTAGGGAGAAAACATATAGTCTTTCACTGCTAAGCAAGATATACGTTATAGGAGTATACTAATTGTACTTTAAAGTTTGAGAAAGTTCCCTTCAAGTTCTAATTTACTAAAAGTTTTTATCACTAATGGGTGTTGAACTCTGTCGAATAATTTTTCTTATATATAGTTTTTCTTAGTTGGATCATGTGACTGATTTTCAAACATTAAATCAATCTTGCATTCCACTTGGTCATTAAGTATTTTCCTTTTTATATACTGATTCAGCTGGCTAAAATTCCAATGAAGGATTTTCCATCTATTTTTATGGGAGATGTTAGATATTAGTTTTTCTTTATAGCAGGGTAAAAACTAAGTCAGAATTTTCCTGTTATTTTTCCCCCCCAAACTGTACCGAATTGATACTAGTTCATCTTTAAATGTTTCACAAAATACTTCAGTAAAGTCTTCTAGGATGTGTCTCCATGACCTCCAGTATAGGGATTAAACCCAGGAGCCTTTTCATTTTTTATTTTGAGTCAAGGTCTTGCAAGGCTGGCTCAGACTTGTGGTCTTCCTGCTTTGGCCTCCAGAACAGCTAGAATTATAGCTGTCCACCATGCCTGATTTAGGATAGGTTTTTTTGGAGGGAGGGTTTTAATTACATATTTAAATTCTTTTATAGAAATAGTGTTGTTCAGGTTACCTATTTCTTCCTAAATGAGCTTTGACAATTTTCAAAGAAATTATCTTACATAAGTTGTCTAAAGAATCTGTGGTCATATTCCTATTTCATTACCATTACTATAAAACGTAATTACATCTTATTTTTCTAATCAATTGGGCTAGAATTTTATCATTATTATTGATCTTGCTGCATCC